CAACAGATCCAACATCACATAACCGCTAGTATAACATGACAGTTACCTTCATTTAAAGTCCGAAGAAAACTTTTGTGGCTTGTGAGCACCGTGGTGATTAGTTCAAAGGACTACTGCGGTCTTCCCATGGCCCTTTTAGTCGTGCTCCTGCCCCTCAGTGTCCTCTTTTGCTTTGATTTCATCCTTCAGATTATTCCGATAAACAACAAGTTGAGACACACATTGAAGAATGCTGTTTCATATTTAATTGCAAGATTAAATGCAAACGGCGTTTCTTTACTCAGCAACAAAAAGAGATTTAATTTTGTTTTCTAGAATTGGGTTGCACTTAGTATTTACCTAGTTTGTTTTGTGTGCTTCCCATTCCTACTGCTCTGTAACCTGAGATGCAACAGTGAAATCTCCTCACTGTGGGACGAATAAAGGATCTTTTATTCTCTCATTATAGTTTACCATGGACTCCTCATATTTAAAACCTTCAGGTCTTTACACACAATTCTTTATACAGTATTTTTACAATCGCCAATGCTCTGAAAAAAACCCTGCCATTCAAAAAAACTTTTTTTTCCTGCGCTTCATACAACTTGTGCACATTCCATAGAGCTAACAGCAATCCTCCAAAATAGCACGCGGTCCAGGCTGAAAGGGGTGTGGGGTGCTGGGGGGGGGCTGTGTATTTCCTGTGTCGCAGTTTACTGTTTTGTAGAGCAAGAAAAATGGGCTTATGTAACGGTCATGTGATTTGGCCAGAAATAGTGGTGGGACTACAGCTGCTGCCTGCCTGCTCGGCTCCTCCACTTTTGGCAGAGCCGCTCCTCCGTGCAGCTCCCAAAACAACTTCTGCTCCTGCTCTTACTGTACTACAGAAGAGATACGGAGATTACTGTAAATGTAATATCTGAAATGCCATCCAGACTGTGACAGTAAAATAACCACATGGCAATGTCTGCGAATAGTGGGTTAGGTCGGTCTCTCATAATAATTACTATGTCGACTCATCGTTTTTGGGGTTCCATTTTTATCATTTGTTTATATTTTCTCCTAGATTTTTTTGCTCTGGAAGATTGAAGACAAGTTTGATTGTATAAAAATTCCACCGTTTATTTTATCATCGCAGGCCTTTTAATCAAATAGAGAAATCAAAGTATTATGCTACTGAAATTTTGTTGTGGTACTGTAATTGTTTGTTTCAAAGTTGTTTATGGAATTCAATATGTAGTTTTGTAGTTTCAATGTTATCGTTTATCACAATGTTGAAGTAATTGCAATTTCCATGGTTGCAATGAGCAAATCTTGAAATGTTTTAATTAGCAGAAAACATTAGCCTTTTTGTTTTAATGATTTGAATACATGTTTTGAGCATACTTTGCAGTTTTGTGAATGAAAGCAAATACATTTCGCCTTACATTATTTTGATCATCTTTTTCATAATAAGTTGCACAACCTCCTTCAAGACTTTTGTGAGAAAATTAAAACTACTTCGCTAACATTGTGCAGCCTGAGTATAGGTTGGAAGATAGGGTATGGTGCTTGCATTAGGATGAAAGACAGAGGGTGGAGTTTGCTATACAGTCAAATTGATTAAATGCCGTTATTAATAAGTGTATTTTACCGCAAAGGAAATGACAGAAAGCTGTTAAATCATGCAGTGCAAGAAATATAGTGCTTCCGTCTGCAACACCCATAGACAGTTATATTTTTATATTTTGTGCGATTGAATTAGGTAAATTGTTCTCTAATAACTTAATCTGAGCCCGCTGCGTAGAGATTGTCAGAACAGTGGATTCAAAAGTGCATCACTCTAAAAGCAAATGTGAAGGAGACAGCATGCAGGCACAATACAGCAGCTGTCTGTAAACTTCAGTACAGTTTATACACTTTGATGACATGATGGACAAGTGGGTTTCCATGACCTTATTGCAGCTCTCTCATTCTCAGGTCAAGCAATAAAACTATTCAGTCAACAGACCTGTACTAGTTGAAGTCCAACGGTTCTACTCTGAGCTCATCCCAACTCAGTAAGACAGCGCCCAGTGGTGAGGGTGGGAACAAAGATTCTCACCACACTTGAGAGCCCTAACCCTTCATCAGCAGTCAGATCACAGCAGATTAAGAACTGTATCCTTCGCTCACTGTAAGCGAGACCTCAGACACGCAAACTCCCCACTCCAGACACCTGACGAAGACCTCTCCTCCATCTCTTTTTCCAGTTTAGGAACATGGCCTTTGATTTGGAGGTGATGATTTTCGTTCCGGCCGCTACATTCTCTCAAATACGATCTATTAGGGTCAAATTTGTGAAGAATCAAGTCAGCTCAAAGCTAACCTGGTCGTACCACACCATAGTACAAATTAAATTTCGTACTAAGGTCTAGAGGTGCTCCATTGAGCTCCGTTTATAGATGGGAGGGGCTAACTCCTTTTGCAGATTGAAATGATTGGATCTGAGTTTACTGTGACGTATGTAATGTGCCCGAGTGAGTCGTTAGCATTTAGCATAGCCATCTGCTTTGCCGCTAACGGAGCCCGTGGGGAGTAACGCCACAATTTATTCCAGCGATTACATTTGCTAAACATTCCTATTGCTCCGGCTTCAATTTCTTGATAGAACCAGACCGGATTACTTTACTATCGCATTTTTCGCCATTGCCAAACTACGACCTTCCCGTTCGACGCAAACTCTTGACGTCACCCACAACTAACTACAACACCCGCCTTCCGCGCTCGCTGGTCGAAATTCAACCGATTGTAATCGCTTTTCCAGGGACCAGACCCAGACATTACATGCAGTGAAATGATGATTGAGCGGAATGTACGGATGGCTATGGCCAGGCTAGCTCAAAGCAAGGAGACGTGTTTTGTGCTTTATGTTCATTTTTCAATTCCAAAATAACAGTCAAAATAACAGTCAAAATAATAGCACACATTATTACAGATTGATATTCACATTCCAACAGAGCTGTTTTTCCGGGTTGTTCTTCGCTTGCCCGGTCCACTCCAAACCAAACTATTCCAAGTCTATAGTCCACCCCACACTTCATCCTCCCCATTTCAAACAAGCCAAGTGGAGCATCTCTGGCACGCTGCATGTACGTTGGTGACTCCACTGTATGTGTGTGTGTGTGTGTGTGTGTGTGTGTGTGTGTGTGTGTGTGTGTGTGTGTGTGTGTGTGTGTGTGCATGTGTGGGCGTATGTGAAGCTGGGAGGGCTGGCGGACGTGTGGAAATGAAGAGGAGGAGGAGGAGGAAGAGGAGAGCTTACAGTGAAGAGCCAGCCGAGCGGAAGGAAGCACTCTGAAAGGGGAGATGATTGGGGCTGAGCTGAGGGCCAGGGCAGTAGGCAGGGGGATTCTCCTCATGTTCGCTTTACTTTCACCACCGCCATTGCCACCGTCGTAGCCCGGCACTAGATAATTACTGTCCAAACTAAGGCTCTCTAAACACAAGCTCACAGTGTCATCCAGCCAACTTCTGTTTCATGCTGTATCTTGTTTCATACCTCTGGAATCCAGTCGGGATATTGATTTGTCCAAACTAATAATCATTTTCGACTGTGTCCCATAATGTGTCATATGAACTATCTCAGACAATAGGGATTGGCCTTCTTCTGTTGCCCAGAGTCAGAACTGTTGAAAGGACTTACTTTTTCCTTACTGCACAAGAATATTATCTATGTCTTTACACCTATAGTTTTTCCCAACTCAGGATCTGCAATCAATCTTTTATATATCGTACGGTTGGAATTGCCTGCTGCTTTTGGACACCCATGAACATTACAGTCCATACAGGCATCACAACCTTTCAATCATAAAACAGTGGATATCAGATAATGGTGCTCACAGTTGCTGACCTACTTTATGGAGAAGCAGACATGGAATCAGAAAATGTAATTATGAAGAATTCTTAGTATAGCCCCAGCATAGCAAGAAACCATTTGGGTATATAGAAGTGTAGTGGTAATTGGCTGTCATTAGGGCATGTACGTTTACTCGTTTGCATTGTCTATTTGCACAGACAACAGGTGGGCTCTGGGTAGACGCTGGGTCACTGATTATTTTATAGAAAGCTAATTATAGAATTTGTTTTCAGCGCTTGTTCCACATTAATGTACTGGATGTCTGGAGTGAAAACTGCTTTGTGTTTATGTCCATTGATTATTCCTGTATTTTTATTGACAATAGCAAGAGAAAACATTGCTTTCTTAAACGGTCAATTATTTATTATTATTCTTTTATTGCAATTTTTTTTATTTCTCTCTTATGTTTCTCTCTCAGGTATGAAGAAAATTATCCTTGGCATTTTTATTTAAGCTGAGAGCTAGCCGATCTCTATTTTTTTATTTCTCTGTCGGAAAACGCTGATCTGAAGGTGTGATTGAGGCCAACAAAACTAGTGATAGAACAAGTGATACAAGCAATGCTTGATTACTCAAAGAAAGCATTACATGTCTCATTTAAAGTACACATACTTTTCAAATTGTGAAGATAGAAAAAAACTTATGGGAGACAAGCACTGGTTATATCTGCCCATGCTCCCCTCCCAAGCTCCCCAATTGGTCAAAATGTATTCCAATCCTTTAGGCCCTTGTCATTGGTTCAACTATTCACCAAGTCTTACTGGTAGTAATGCCAAGGGGGCGGACTATAAAAGCTTCAGTATGTTTTTGTTGAAAAATACTCACTGCAAATGCTATAATGCGCCATGGTCAAAAATATAGATGCTTATAGAAAATAAAGCTGACAACACCATTAAGGCAGTCAAATCAAGTTCTACATACACTTCAAGCACAGACACAGGGATAACATGCAAACTCCACATCAAAATGCCCGAGCACCGATCAAACTAGGCAGCGTTCATGCTTGGAGTAAACTTGCTTTACTTTGTATTCTTGGCATTTTCTGGCAGCAGAATGCTCCATCCTGGCGCTGATCCCCTGTCAGGAGCGTGTCAGGCTGCGCACTGGAGCGAGACAGTAACATTTGTGTCTTGTGTCGTGTCAGGTCAGCACAACTACCTGTGCGCCGGGAGGAACGACTGCATCATCGACAAGATCCGCAGGAAAAACTGCCCTGCGTGTCGCGTACGGAAGTGTCTGCAGGCCGGGATGAACCTGGGAGGTGAGGCTCAAGGCAATGGGGAAGACAAAGGGGGATACACTGGTAGATACTGGATCTATACTAGGGGTCTCTAGCCTCTTTCACCTGGAGAGCTACTTTCTCAGGACCAAAAAGACAGCGAGCTACTACTTCATTATTTAATGATGAGAACTACCCTTAGATAGGGTCACGTTACTACAAAGAATTATTCTATGGCATTTATTACAGCTTTTGAGTTAGATAGATACTTTATTGATCCCTGTAGGAGAAATTCAGGTGTCCAGCAGCAGAAAGTAAATCAATTTTAATAAACATTTCTAACTAACTACCTAACAATAGTGCATATTTTTAACTCGCGCAGTGATATATGCCTGTTGCTACAATTACTCCTCTGAGCGGCCATAGTGTCATGCAGAGGGTGTCTGGAGTTACCCAGGATGCCCTGCATTAGAGCCCTGACCCTTCTCTCCAGCACAGCTCCCACAGAGTCCACACTTCTCTCCATCACAGAGACACATTTCCTGATCAGCCTGTGGTGCCGGTTACTGTCTTTCGAGGTCAGACTTCCGCCCCCAACACGCAACCCCAAAGAACACGGCACTACCGACCACAGACTGGTAAAATATGTGCAACATCTGACTGCTCACATCAAAGGACCTCAGTCTCAGAAGAGTCTGTTCTGACCTTTCTTAATGACAGCATTGGCCTGAGCTGACCAGTCCAGTCTGTGGTCCAGGTGGACCAGGTGTTTTTGTATGACTGTACCACTTCAATGTCCTGTCCATTTAGTGTGATCTGTTGATGGGCTCTTGTGAAAGTCAGTGATGATCATTGGTCTTGGACGCATTGAGAATCAGACCATTCCTCTTGGAATTGTTAGGAAAAACCTTGCAAGTATATTTGTATAAAAAGTAGGAACCAGTGCATAAATCAAACCATTTTAAACGTTTTTGCAAATAGAAACAGTCTTATTTATTATCTGGATTCAGTGAAATATTATTTTTCACAGAAATCCACATCAAACATTTTCAGTATACTACAATTTCTCCTTGATAAAATTTTCTCATAGTTCAGCTTTAACCTTTGACTGCAGACTCATAAGTCAAGCAATGCAAACGGAAGTGAGTAAATTGTGCAAAAACTGGTTTGAAAGGAAAAAAAGTCAAAGAGCAAACAGATCTGTGTTCTGTACAAATTCTTAAGACTTTATGCCATTACTGCAATTGTCGTCATTGCCATAGCCTCCATCCAAAGTGTAAGGACTTAAGATAAAAAAAATATGAAAAGATGCCACTGCATTGTGATCCAGACAAAAGAAAGAGAAGAAAGTCCAGATCTTTGGATTTAACAGTAAGGAATACAAACTTCAGACTAAACTCTAGTAAAGTTCAGCCATTGATCAAAAACATCACATTTCAGAAACATTTATTGAGAGGGGGTGTCATTAGCCTCCCTCCTGCATTCGTCATGCAGTATTCTTTTCCCGGGGTCTAATAGCAAATCTTAATAAACATTTCATGTTCAAATGTCATAAATATATCAATACCCAATCAATGCCTCTGCTGGTGTCTAGACATGTTTCCAGATTGAAACAGTGTAATGAAAAGCAGGTTAACTTGCTATTTGTACTTGTTGTTGCCTTAAGTCATATCAAAGCTAGGTGGTGCTCCTCTAATTGCTCCCCCAAAACTCATCCAGTGAGAAATGTTTTGCGGTGCAAAAATAAGTGTGTTAAAATGCGTTATTATTATTTTTTCACGTGTTATATTGTGCAATCCTGATAAACGCGTTAAAATCCCAGCCCTAGTAAAAACACATAATGTATATTACGGTCATCATCATGGTTTTTCGCGATCGCTTTTTCTCGCATTAAAACAGTATTTTTGTCATGAAAACCTTTACAGATACTTCTGAAAACCTGCGTGCATGTGTATTATGAATGTATATGTATAATTTATTCTCCGATTAACATTTATGTAATTGTGTTGATTGATTGGTATATGCGTTTATTGAGCGTGGCTAGCTCCGGAGTGACCGGAACTACTTGCCGAGTAATCTACACACCTGAATTACAAGCAGAGAGTGCGTTGCCATGGGCAACGGTCATTATTGTTTTGAGAGGTCCGTTATAAGAAATAATGACCGGTAGAACGTTTTGAAATTACATTGAAATCAATGGAGCGTTCTACTGCTGCTGTGAGGAGCGTGTAATAAATAAATATAATACCTCACCATATTGACTGTAATTATTTAGTGATTTCACTTTTTAATCAACAGTGATGACGTTTCCCCCTTTTTGAGAAGGTCATACTGGAATATGACCCAAAAACTATAAACTCCAAAGTCAATTGAACAAGTTGGCACCTTTCTGAAACACCTGGAAATACAATCGATGACCTGTCATTGTTCATAATTGCAGAGTCAGGATTTTTTAGCAGCGTTGGAATCCTCCTCCCTCCTGCTCTTGGCCAAATATATCAATCTTGTGTGGACTTGTTCTTTTGATTATATCGTTTGCAGTCAATAACAATTATACAAATGTAGATTCAGTGATCCTATAGGGGTGTCTTAGATTAGCAGACAACTTTTATAATCTGTTTGTTGTGTGTGATTTCGCAAATTTGCATGTAGATGCTGCCAAACACACACAGACTCAGTTTATTTGCCAACAAATTAATGTTGCATTAATGCCTCGTTGCCAGGACACCCTTGGAGAAGCAACTAGATAAAAGGTGAAATAAATACGAGAAATAAAAGTACACAAAAAGTTGCCAACATGTTCCCAGGGAAAGTAGATCTCATCCATACTGTACTGTTCCTGCCGTCACGTGTCTCAAGCATGACATTTGAGTCAGCTCCACTCTCTTTTCTAATATTTACAGTCTATGGTTTTCCCCGAACACATAGAAAGAGCACAAGTATAGGGCTGTGTGGAGTCACAGAAAGCCCGCGGACGCTGACTCACATAACGATTGCGCGCTCAGCCGCTGGCAGCACAATATACAGCAAGACGCCCAACAGCGTGCGGCTAATGCGCTCCTTACAATACGTGACAACGCTCCCAGACAAGAGGCGGCTTTAGTTATCAAGAAACATGAGCCCACTGTTCCAAGGCTCAGGGCTTCATTCATGCATTATCATGGTTTACTGTCACAGCAGCAATGGCCTGTGTGTTCTGGCGCCGGTCTAGTGACGTCAACAACTTACAGATATGTAGGGCATGAAGAGGCTGCTTTTGTGCTGTTCTCAAACGAAACGGTTCAGAGGGTGCAAGTAACACGCATTATTAGTTAACCCTTGCTTGGTTTCCTCAAGGTGGACCACTTTTAGAATCTACTTCAAGCTTGGAATTGAAATTACCTCATTGGGGCATCTCTATTACTTGGTTTTAGGCACTGTTACAATCAAACTGCATCTCAACTTTAAAACTAAATATTAGTGCTCCTACATCTTACAAAATCAAAAAAGGACACATTTACGTTGCTTCTTTCAAGGAGTGAACATGAAATGGTTAAGTGCTGTACTGGAGTAGTTTCATTTTGATATCAGTAATTTATCACTTAATGTTCTTACTCTACTCCTTTGTTTTTAAAGGAGACATGTTATGCATCATTAATGGTTATTAAAATGTATTTTTTTTAAATCATAATATCGAATGCGTCGTCCTGAACAAAGAAGCATCTTCAGAGGGCATAGAGTGTATATTTATCCACTGGTTTTATAAACACAAAATCACAATATAAATACAAAGATCCCAGAGGCCTCTTAATCACAGATGTTTTGATCCCAAAATGGTGAGTGTGACACAAACAGTTATTGAGCTTACTTTTTCATCAAAGTCAATAGGAGCCAGAGCGAGTTGGAGTTGTTCATAAGAACTTCCCCTTTGGGATGCATTGTGCTAAGGGGTTAGCATTGTCCATCTATATACAGTCTATGGTCCAGGGCAGAAACAGCCATGAGAAACATGAAGTGGAGTTGGTTCAGGTTACTATGACAATGCAAGGCAGTGCTTAAATGCGACCAGGTGAGATATTGGTAGTAGAGTTTCCAGTCTGCCCCTTCGCTCTAGCTTCAACAGTATAACCGAATCCATCAAAACAATTGCAAGAAAAGCCTCCATTTCCCCATCACTACAAAATACCATATACTTATACAGCAAGCGAACAGGAGAGTGTGAACTGCTGCGTGCTGCCATTTTAAAACCAACATGTCTCCACATTGTCAAAATGAAGCATTTGAGAAGTTCTTAAAGCTGACTCCAGTCTAATCCACACCTGTTACCGTTGGCATTCGTGTTATCCGCAGTTCACAGACATGTTCAAACTCATTAAATGTGTTAACATTTCCACGTTGCTGGTATAAAACTGTTTTGACAAGCTTTAAAAGGCTGTGCTTTGGAAAACATCTGGTATCATGAGGAAAAAAAGTGAATTAATATTGAGTGTATGGGATAAGTGAAAAAGTTCAATATTTTGTGCACCTGTCAAGATTTGATTTCCGAAAAAAAACAAGACTATTGCGCAATAGAGGCATCAAAGGAGACATTATCGGCTTTAGTGTTGGTTTTTTTTCTGTCACACATTTTGTTCATGATTCATTCACTTTTCATAGCAACCAATTTCCCATTCAAAACCACTACAGTGGGTGGCACGCTGGCGCAGTGGTTAGCACCAGAAAGTCCTGGTTCGATTTCACCTCAAGGCCTTTCAGTGTGGAGCTTGCATGTTCTCCCCATGTCTGCTTAGGTTTCCTCCGGGTGCAAAATCCAGAGGCCAAAAATACATGCGAAAGTGAGCGATAGAAGAAAAGTTTCTATTACACAGTTAGATTATTTGTGGTTTGAAATGTTTGTGTATGCCTGCACTTTGAGTTGCCTTGTTATGAACTGTGCTACGCAACTAAACTTGCCTTGCTTTGACGTGGAATACAGATTCACTTAAATATATAAAAGTATACATAAAAAATGTGAAAGGATCAGTGTTATCCCTGATTTTTTTGTTTGGTCTGCCTTTCATATGGTGACGTAAATCATCAAAAAATCTGCAGTGTTTTCCCATAAATGTCCTATTTTTGCTCAGCACATCTGTCCGTCTGCTTTGAAGAGCAGCAGATGTCTATGAATCACCTGCACAGTGAAAGAAGAACTATTTTTCTGGTCAATGTACATGAATAACCTTTTACACCTTGACATTTGTGAGTGATTTTGAGGTTTTTCTGTATGTATTGTAGAGGAGTGAATGGTTACAGTATACAGTATACAGTATACAGTATACAGTGCTATACGTTTTTTGTCTGGTACTTGGGAACATATTCTGCGATTGGAGAGTTGCATTTCTTGACACCAGTATTTAAAGCTGGTGTACCTAACTCTTCCCTCGTGTTTGTCCCTAAATAATCTAGTGAAAGTAACATTCTGTGAACATATTGTACCACAGCATGCTGTCTTTACCTGACCCTGTGAGTCATGATTTGCAGCATTGGGATCTCGTTGATTGGCTGAGTGAGGGTGGTCCTCTCTTTTTCCCTTTTCAGTGATAGAACCCAAAAATAGTTAGATTTATTTTAAAGTTTGAAGGTTAAATACCCCAGCTTTAATACATTAATATAATAAAGATACAATATAATATGAAATTATATATGATTATAAGCGACCAAGGGTCTGCTGCAAAAATTTTACCAAATGTCTGTTTTTTATTTTTATTTTTTTTGCTCACTGGGTATTTTTGCCATTATATTGGCCATATTCAAATATGTTTTGTTTTGTTTTTTTTATGCAAATGGTAACTAAACTTTATTTGAATCTGATATCTCTTAAACTTACAGGAAAAATCAATGTCTAAATCATGTTTTTGTCTTCCCTCTGTTCCTGTTTGTTCATGTTGCACAAATGAATGTATGGCAATATAAATGACGTGCCAGTATGTTCGTAATATGATGATTTTTTTTTTTATTTCATTTTAAATTACAGGAATGAAATGTTAATGCAATATTTCCCCTAATTCAAACCCACTATCCTTTTCTTTTACCACAGCGCGAAAGTCAAAAAAGTTGGGCAAGCTGAAAGGGCTGCACGAGGACCTCCAGAGCTCTAAGGAGGCAGGCTCGGGAGGATACCTGTGCTCGGAGAAGGACCTGAGCTCCAGCGCGGCCAACGCCCTGGTGCCCCACGGTCCCGGGGTGGTCTCGCCCTTCCTGCCCCCCTCCATCTGCAGCGTGCTGGAGCTAATAGAGCCCGAGGAGGTGTACTCCGGCTACGACAACACGCAGCCAGACACCACGGACCACCTGCTGTCCAGTCTCAACCGCCTGGCCGGCAAGCAGATGGTGCGCATGGTCAAGTGGGCCAAAGTACTTCCAGGTTCGTGGGCGCCAATGAGTTTTATCTCGCAGTGGAGGGCGTTTAGATGCGGGTCTGTTTTCTAAGCATGCAAGTAAAGCTGGGGAGGAAAAAGAAAAAGTAAAATTCCATAACTTCTCATCTGTCACTTGGTCATTACCACAAATCTATACCAACCTAATGTAGTTGTAACATAGGTACGACATCTAACTTATCGATTCAAGGAGCATCTGGAGGTGTCTAAGAACATAATTTTTCATTCTCTGACACACTGTTAAATGAGCTCATGTCACTACACCTCTGCTCTAAGAAAGCACTGGACATATACACAATTACGCACTACCATCTATTTATTGGCTTGGATGTAACTGTTTACATTGTAATACATTATCTATTTCCCCCCCTGTCTAAAACATGGACCAATTTAGTCTGAAATAAAGATTATTTGGAAATGTGCTCATTCTATGCTTATGTATGTCTTCCTCCTTTTTTGTGATACGGAGTTAACCAAGTCCTGAAGTTACTTTTTTCGGGCAGTTACAATTTAAATCTTTTTATGATTCCTTTTTCTTTCTTCGGGCAGTGACAAAGTAATGAAACTAACAAACTTTTTAGTCATTTGTAACTAATTGAATCATCAGAGTAACTTACCCAACTACCTAACTGCCTATGATATGCAATGCAAGACGATTTAAACATTAAAAGGTCAAAAGCACTGCGTTACTTTGTGTGAAACCAGTTGTGCCTCGAAAGCTTTTACACACCTATAATGGGTGTCTCTGTTAACTGTGATAGAAATGTGCCTTTGTGTTCATTATGTGCGAACTTTGTAATGCAGACACTGCGTTCAAATATAAAGTCATTTTCCCAGGTACATAACGAGGCACTTGCTGATGCTATAGGATCAAACCGACATTAGCATATCTCTTAGGATTCATGCGAAATGCCAAAGACTTACTTAACCCTTGTAGCGACTGGTGTAAATAGTTCAGCCACAATCCTGTTTACCTCAATTATACAGTGCGTCTTGATGAGGATAACGTGCTTACATCTCCTCTTTAAATCTCTATATTTTTGAATTATTCATCACTCTGGTTATATCAGGCCAAACCATTTCCATTTCCAAATATTAGATCTTAGAACGATTCTGCAAAGCTCCCGCAAAGATTATGACTAAATCCAATTTGACCATTAAATAGAATCACGATTAAGACTTCCAAAACACAGCCCCCTTCAAACCGCCTCCTCTGATGTTGAAAGGAGGATCCGATGTCTATCATATTAATTTTGGCACATAAACTGGAATAAAAATATTTAAAAAAGAGTTTGCTATAGTTCCCAAAAAAAAATGCCAGTCAGTTCACATGTATAGAGGTATGGCCACGCAGGTTGCTTTTGATGATGTTTAAATTGCAGTATTGCAAATATTTGATACCTCCTGGGTGTCTGCTTGCGTATCCGGGGGTATAAATAGAAGGGGAGCCAGACAGAAGGGTCAAAACGTGCACCTTGACTTTCAGATGTCACCAGCAGCTGCGTTCGCTTTACATATGGGAAGAGGGAGGAGAATGAGAGATGTTGGAGATGGGCCGCAGGAAGGCTTTGGAATAGGGTACAGCTGTTTCAAGTTTGCTATCTCTATAAACTTTGGCTTCAGAATTTGCCAATACCCGATATGAGCCGATACCAGATGAAGGCAGTGGTTTCGGGCCAATGGCACATACTGGTTCACTCACTTTGGTCAGTGTGCCCTGGGCAGCTGTGGCCACAGTAGTTTTTGACCACTGTGTCTGGGGTGAAAGAATGATGACATGTGAAGAGTCTTTGAGCGTCCAAAAAAGTGCTTTATAAAACTGAAGCATTGTTGGTGGCAACAGTGGCTCAGTTGGTGGAGAATTGGCCTTTGAGCCTAAAGGTTGTGGGTTCGGCACCACTGCGAGACCTTCTCCACCACCTCTACTGATGTCATTGTGTCCTTGGGCAAGACACCCACATTGCCTAAAAGGAGCGCGGAAATAAGGTTTGCTGCCTGCCTGGATGTGTATCTGTGTACATAAAACTGAAATCTCCCCTCTGTGGGACAAATAATGGACATTCTTAATATTATTGTAATGTAGAGATTTGGATAGTTCTATCAGCTGTGTTTTATGTTTATGTGAACAGCAGAGAGAGACAAAATGAGGAAATTCTGAATTACATGGGACTATGGAATTATTATTTTGAGTCAAGTGTACAAGTTTTACTAGCTGCTATTGGTAAATGAGACATGGAAGCTAGAGAGAGTTTATTATCATGATATGTGGCCGTGTCCAGCAAAAACCATCTATCAGCGTTGTTTTGCTCCATTAGCTTTAGTTTGAGTGTTATGTTACAACATGAAAAAGGTGTAGCCTCTGTTAAAGTGTGGCATATGTGGACAAAAGTTACTTTCTTTTCCACAGCTGATCCGGTTAACATACAGGTGCGCGTAATAGTCCAGTCATTACAGTATTTTCTTTCAAGTTTATTTTTGATCATGTGGGAATTCTCACCAGATTTTCCATTCAAAAGTAATCCAAAAGTAAGGAAGGCTTCCTTTTGCTTTCCTTCCTCATAATTCTGTCCTGTTATTAAAGAAACAAATTACAGGGCTTCTTATTGTCGGAAAACATTTTGACAGTTTATCTATATTATGAATTATTCTATTTACTTAAATATGTATTTATTAGGAGGATAAGTCCCTAGAGATGACAGACTAAAGCCACGTGTTCCATTGTCAAATCTTCAAAATACACTCAAATCAAGAAACATTTTCCCAAATTCAAGTGATTTTTGTTTGGTTTTCTTCGGTGCTTTTTTGCTTGCAAAGAACTTAAACAATTGCAGTCTTTGCAATTTTCTAACTGCGACCAAAAAAACAGGAATTTGATTCATAATAATCGTGCAGCCTTTGGATTAAAGGTTTAAAAAGCATTCAGCCATCATTTCCACATCACTCCCATGTCCTGTGGCTGTTTACCATACTTGTCATACCCTGATCATTCGCCATTGTCATCTCCGCTGCCGTTAGAGCGTGTATGACACCTACCGCTCTTCAAAGAACGCTTCGCCTGATCGACGTAAACACAAACAGCTCCTAAGCCTGTAATCACTCTGTGTATCCTCAGCTGCCCGATCTTTTTCATGTCGACTAGTTTGTTGCCAGACTTTGATTGAGAATTTGGCAGACCTCGTGGTTGACTCTATTTTAGGAGCCCCATAGACAACATGCCAATAACCACAGGCCTTGTGGGATTTCAGGAAAAGTAAGAATGGGTGAATGCTACTCGGTGCTTATCAAGTCTGGGCAAATATTTGTACGCTGTTGTGGAAGACAGCGAGGAAGCCGGGGCACGCGCACACATGCTTGGCTTGAATACATGGATGTTTCAGATGTGTATGAGGAACATTTGTGTGGTGTGTGTAACTTTATAACTAGGATTAGTGTATTTCCACCTCTCGTGTTTTCCAGCTACGACATAGTTTGCCATCCTTCCCCCAATAGAGCTGCTAAGTGGCCGAAGCTTAAGGTTTCAGGATGTAAAATTCTGAATGTAAATTTCACCAAGGGATTATACATTTCTTTAAAATTCGTATAAAGATTGAAAACATGTTTGGGAATGATCCGATATCTGGTGAGTGATGAAGGCAAGATCTACCTTTACAACATTTTTCTCCCATATACTGTAGCTACATTTTCTATTTAAATTTATCCATCTTATCTTTTCAAGAAAAAAAATGTCAAGGAGCTTCTTAATTGAATCAATACTAAGGCTGGGACCTCTTTGACGCTCAGTCGTGTCTTCGAAATTTCTACGGAAAACTAAGCTCTGCAATTTTGTAGCTCATTGTCAGCTCATAATCTGTATCTTTTCATGTTTTTGCTAAAATCGTAACTTATTGTTCTGGAAAAAAATTTAAATAATCAAAAACATAGTGGGAGGCATGTGTCTTTATTCATGTTTTAATAACCTCATCCCATCCTGTTATTCCTCCTTCCACTTCTTTTCACAAATGGCCTTCACCACAAAACAGCCATAAAGCAGATAGAAAACATTTTTTCTTTCTGCTTTATGGCTGGATTTGTTAACATTGCTCGCATGTATGAGGATTTAGTGATGAAACACAAAATGTATGTTGCTGCTATACTGTAGGTGTGGATGTTAACCAACTTTTAATCAGAGATGCTCATGTTTGCCCTGAAATGTGTCACAATATGGCATTAAATCTGTCTAGCATTTACTATTTTCATATTAACATGTATTTACTTTCTGACCAGTTACCAAAGTTACTCATTCACTATGCAATTCAGGTTACAAGAGTGGGGATGGACTTCCTTGTCATTGCAGAAGACAGATAGCTAATAAAATGCTATTGAATACTTGTGTCTGTGATCAGAAAAGTACATTTGAATCTTGAAAACTGAACATTTAAAAACAATATTTCAAGAACTTCTGTCAAGAAATAGATTTCAGTGCAATTACCTTAGCTTTACCTTATTATAGCGAAAGAAATTACCTTAATATCTGTTCCATCCAACCCATGTACTAACTTAAAAAAACAAACAAAAAATGGTTTTATTACCAGAACAAAATCCTTAATTCAATATAATGTTGTAATTCATACATTTACATTCATATTTTTTTCATTTTATAATATTGATAATTTATTATGAATGAAAATGCATGAAGCACAATTCATACAGTGCAACCCAAAGTGCAGAGTATCTTGTGCTGTGTGCTCCTTACTCCTACTGTTCTATAACTTGTGATGCAACACTGAAATGTCTCCACTATCTCTTAAAATCAATCTTAATCTAGTACAGTGATTCTCAAAGTGTGGTACGCTCGCTCTACTGATTTCCCAAAGAATCACTGAAATAAATTAAAAAATAAAAGATTTAATATGTTTTATTTTATGTCTGAGAACCACTGATCTAGTATGTCAACTCCCCCCTCCAAATAAAATAAAGAATAATAAAAGCAAGACATGAATAATTATGCATAAAACAATAAACCAAAAATATTATTAAAGGTAATAATAAAACTACAGCCAAGCCCTCTTTCATCCATTGAGGTTTTTAAAGCTGTATTGTGGATAATTCCTGGAAAATAGAAAATTTCTGGTATATCAGACAACTTCCAAGTGCTGTGTTTTCATCTCTTTGTGTGTTTTTGTTGCAGGTTTTCGCGGTCTGCCCATCGAGGACCAGATCACGCTGATTCAGTACTCGTGGATGTGCCTGTCATCTTTCTCTCTCAGCTGGAGGTCTTACAAACACACCAACGGACAAATGCTCTACTTTGCCCCGGACCTCATCTTCAACGAGTATGTATGCAGAAAAATAACAACAATAGTAATGTCGGGGTGGGAAAGGACATTTGGGTAAATATGATAATAACGCATCGGTTTTATTTTTTGGACACTCAAAGGCGCTTCATATGCCATTACTCTTTCACTCCATACACAGTGGTGATAAACTACCTCTGACAGAAGCGAGACAACCAGTATGTCCCTCATTTCATTGCTCATTTTGTTTGTGGAAAGTTAGTTTATAATTTATTTGTTGCATAGGATTATTGTATTTCAATGTTGGACTGAAAGAAAACTGGACCAAAAGTAAGAAAGGCTTGTTTATTGCGTCTTCTTTTATGATCAATAATTGCGTTCTGGGTTTAATGTTTGGAATAAAATAAAGTATATGGTTGCGCGGCAGCGGTTTTGTCTCTGGTTCTAAAAAAAACAATCAACTTGTAGAATCTATCAGAAAACCAAAAGAACCTTGTTGGACTAAATAATGCGTCTTTTGGGAAAATGATCTGTGTTTGCAAGTATTTCAAGTACCTCCTGTAATACCCTAGCATACCTCTAGGGGTCTGCATCCACTGGCTACAACATCGGATTTGTTAAGTAATTCAAAAGGTTACATCATTCTTGAGCAAATTTAGATGCACACTATAGGCATGCAATGATTTCCTGCATAAAAGTATACGGTAATGTCAAAAAGCTACAACAGAACTGAGTGAGTGAGTGCGGCATGTGTCACAAACAGGTTCCACATCTGCATATGTATTTCTGTGCTACATGTAAACAAACTCTGCTATACGGCACACTTCTGCATATTTTCATTGCAAAATTTCACACCAGCATCACTTCAAAATTTAGTTTCTTTGTCACGGTAATTTACAGATCCAGAAACTAATTTTATCTTTCTATTCAAAACAGGATGCACGCACTAATTTGCTGCTTCGACACATTACGACTGTTTATAATGAGCGCAGAATGGTATAATAACAAGTCAACAGAGCCTGGCGAAGTGTCTGTGTTTGCGTGTAGGCGGCTAGTTTTGTATTATTCTTCCGGTAGTCAAAAAAACATACTTTTTTCCATAAAGTGGCCATTGTCTCCTGTTTGAGTTGCTAATTAGATGCTAATGTATGCTAATATCTATTTAGCTGGTGGACTTTTCAACTTTTCTCTCTTTTCGAGGGGGGGCGGACTATTTTCAGCTTCCTATAAGCATACCTGTGTTGTGTTTTGAAAGCCAAAATGAGTCTCGGAAAATGCTATGATGTTAATAAACAAGGTCGTATGCGCATTTTTTTCTTTTTTTAAAGCACTTACTTTTGCAGGGGTTTTTAATTGCGCTATAGCGGGAACTATCAAAGCCAAAAGAGGGTCGGTCAATAGCCCACTTGATCTGTCCTAATAGATTTGAACTGCGATGGGATGGGAGGAGCAGTGTTATCCAATTCATGTCTGTGTAGGCGATGGGCCGGCGTTAAAAGCGGCTACTGACTGCCTGTGAAAAATCGATATCAGTAGGTTAGTTGGTCCAGGATAAACGGATCAACAAACCACTTAGTTGTTGTGTAAGCCTCTCACTATGGATGTTGCGAAAAAGTTTGCTAGAAGATGGAAATACCAACGTTTTGTTGAGTTTGCATGGCCACTAAAAAATGTGGTATGAAAACGTTTTTGGCATCCCTAACAATTTGTAGCATTTTCATTGGTTATTTGGAAGAAATCTCAGTTAAATATATCAATAGGCGACAAGCACAGTGATATTTGATTAAGATTGAGGGATCCTTTATTCGGGACCTGCAACATGCTCTGGGACGGTTTGCAGCCGAGTGTGAAGCGGCTGGGATGAGAATTAGCACCTCCAAATCCGAGGCCATGGTGCTCGACCGGAAAAAAGGTGCCTTGCCCTCTACAGGTGGGTGGAGAGGTCCTTCCTCAAGTGGAGGAGTTCAAGTATCTCGGGGTCTTGTTCACGAGTGAGGGAAGGATGGAGCGTGAGATTGACAGGCGGATCGGTGCAGCGTGCACAGTGATGCGGTCTTCCGGGGAAGACCCAGGACTCGCTGGAGGGACTATGTCTCCCAGCTGGCCTGGGAACGCCTTGGGGTCCCCCCGGACGAGCTGAGTGTGTGTGGATAGGGAAGTCTGGGCGTCTCTGCTTAGACTGCTGCCCCCGCGACCCAGCAACGGATAAAGCGGAAGAAAATGGATGGATGGATCCTTTATTCGTCCCACAGTGGGAAAATGTCAGTGTTGCATCAGACCAACAGAAATGAGGAGTCCACAGCACAAGACAAATGAACAATATCTCTATACTAAAATAAAAGCTTTAACTCAAACATAAAAAAGAAGCATGTATAAAATCTCTAGCTTTTTGCATAATAAGGAAGCAAATGTATGATCTCCAACTTTAGCGTTGGAAAAGTAAAATAAAGCACTTGGTTTAAATAATTCTGTAAATAATAATTTCTGTAAATGACACAAACTTTATTTAACTTCTCAAATATCACTGTGTTTGTCTCCTATATGATATATTAAACTGAAATTTCTTCTTCATCATACAAATTGTTAGGGGAGCCCTCATACCACTGTAGGTCTGAATGTAATCAGTGAGTGAATGGAGAAGGATGGTCTATTATTCTATTCTTAAGATTTCACAACTTTTATTATTGCAAAATGATTATTTTTTCTGCGATTGCAAAGACACATTGTATTGCGGTAAAATATAACATAATATCTTTTAGGGCTGCACGAAATATCAAAAAATATTGATATCGCGATATTGGTGCGTGCAATATCCATAAAAAAATATGCGCGATTAAATAAAAAAATATGTTTAATTTTTTTTGTTTTTCCTTTATTTTAGACAACAAAACAGACAGACACATCAACATTCAACAAATACAACAAACAAACAAAAAAGTATATACATATATGCATTTGAAGGTCATTAATGTGTTTTTGCGTTTCAATGCAGATTGCAATTTTAGGTGAAAGAAATAAAATATTGTAATAATATCGTTATCGCAAAAAACACCCATATCGAATATCGCTCTAATTTCCAATATTGTGCAGCCCTAATACCTCTCCTGTGAAATAATGTGCTTTTTTTTCAAAATACATTCAGCCTTATTTTGACCATTAAAGTACTGTACATCCTGAATTTCATAGGGTTTTTATAAATACAGTATACATTTATGGCATTTATGACCTATCCCCCTATTGAGACCTATTCCCGTGTTCACATTTCTTCAATCATGTTTCAAATGCGCGTCATATTCTAAAATGTCATTCAGATTTCCCACCATTGCTTCTACACAATTTCCAAAATAAGGTGAGAGGTATTGGTACGGAATAGTACTGGCTCTACCTCTGGGCCCACTTTCATATAAGCTCTAAAAGAAAGTTTCCCATACAGTAGTGAGTTGACACTGGGGGATCGGGCCGGCCTCCTACTCCCTGCTCTCTATAGAATCTACTGAATTATTTGCAGACAGTCAGAGTTGTGACACAAGCGTCCAGTGCTAATGCATTTGCAGCTGCTGATGGATGGAGCTGTCACTCACACTGACAGGGCAGATAAGCTGTGGACATAGTGGACGGACTGCAGGTCAGATGTCCACTGCAGTGCGATGGACCGACGCAACTTTTTCTGGATTACAGTTTTGTTTTTGTTTATTCCAGCATACAGTACAGTTACGTGCCTATAAAAGCACTGTATTAAAAGCACGCACACAAATACTAGTCAGCGTTTTAGTTTAGTTTAACCCAATTGATGGGATTGTGTTTGAGAGCACAACTTAATTATCAGAATCAGAATTATTTGTATTGCCGTTGTAAGTCACTAAAAGTCACAAACAAGGAAATTGCTTTTTGGCTTTTGGTGCAAACAAGTTATAAAAGTAAAAATAGAATAAGGCATAAATTAAACATTGAAAATCTACATAACCTTTCTTAAATTTACTACTGCTATAAAAGTGCACTCAACTTAAACAGATTATTTAAGCTGATTTAAAGCTGGGTTACCTATCTTTCAAACCACAAACAAATTTAACTATTTCATGAAATCCAACTGGGTTGTCGCTTTCAAAACAGTCTGGTTGTTTAGCTAGTTTTCACGGGCATGTATTCTTTTGCCTCTGCCAAATCCATAGATCAACTTTTTCAGACCAAAAAGTGACAAAGAGAGGACAACCCTCACTCAGCCAATCAGCTCCCAGCCCAAAACATCAAATAATGACTCCCTGGAATTGTTCGTACAAGTTACTGTTGGGACAAAAACAATGTATTATGTAACAAAAAGATAGGAACCCCATATTTAGGTCAGTTAATTTAAACTGATCTAAGTATTGCACTGGCCAATCACTCAGAGAATTTTTGTTGCGTTTTTTGATCACAGTAGGACAATTTGGGCTGACTTATGAAGTTATGATTACTTGGCAATGTTTAAAAACTACTTACAGTAATATAGTATGGCTTATTTTTCAAGTCTTTTTCAAACCTTCATGCTTTTATTGTTATATTCTTTCTATCCGCAGAAATAATACTCTTTCCAATATGTAAACAAAAGATGATATGGGTTAAAATTATTCTCTTTTGTTATGAGTAATGAGTCACAATTTCATTATTCACAGGATTTTAATTATTTCATTCACACTACTGTATTTAGCTCATCGCTTCTGAGCAAATCAACCTGTCAGAAAGAAAGCAGCCTGATGGAAAACATTTCTAGTTTTGAAAGTGTTCTTTTTCAAACTGCTTCCAAAGACACCGCCAAAATTTGCCAATTAATTTTAATTATTGATTTCCTTTAAAAATGTATACATAACAGGGGTAAAATACAAGTGGAACTTTTAGTTTTTATATTGTTCAAAAGTCCATTCAAAGGGGGGACTGGGAGTATCACGACCAGAACCTCCCTCCATGAGAACTGTTTCTTCCCCTCTGCAGTTGGACCCCTGAACACTTTATAACCTTGTCCTCCTGCCCTTTTATAAGTCACTTTACTGCCCTTTATAACATTA